GAAACTCCAGTGCCAGGAAAACAATCCGTTTTCCTGGCACTGCAGGTCCCCTCTCCCTCCCACCCCCCAATCCCTGATTGCTGAAGGGGTGAAAACCCCTTTAGTGACTTACCCGAGGCAGAGACGATGTCCCACGTCGCTGCTTCTTCCTCCGCGCCGCTCCTCCCTCTGATCGCGTCAGCCAGTGGGCGAGACTGATCCTGCCCACTGGCCGGGGAGACCTAATGCGCTCCCCATAGGAAAGCATTGAAAATACAGCGTGAGGATGTCCAGCGACGCTCTAGCACAGGTTTCCTGTGCTAGAAACCAGGAAGTGCCCTCTAGTGGCTGTCTATGTTAACGTTAACCCTGCAAGGTAATTATTGCAGTTTATAAAAAACTGCAATAATTACAGTTGCAGGGTTAAGAGTAGTGGGAGTTGGCACCCAGACACTCCAATGGGCAGAAGTGGTCTGGGTGCCTGGAGTGTCCCTTTAATCTCCAGGGAAGAGTCTTCCATACATAGATCTCTCAAAGCATGTAGGAAAAAAACATAAAAATAGCAAATAATAGTGCAGATTGTATTAAATGTATTCCCAGATATTGTACCCCAAACAAAGAGGGCTAAGGAAATACCATAAAGCAGTGTCTTAATTCTAACAAACTTTAGGTAAAGGATTATCACAGATAATTAAAACATGCAATAAAAATACATAGAAGCAAGTTTACAAAAACACATAGCTAGAACTACTAACAAACTGACTCTTACACAAAAGAGTTGTGAGTAAGACACGGCTTTCACCGTAACTCACTGCCAGGCTCGTAATCAATAAAGTGCTGGTGTGGTTGTCCTCAAAGGATGTGGCTGGAGCCGAAGTGCAGGCTTCCCAGAGCTGGAATCCAGTGTGTTTGTGCGAGGTTGAATTTGTCTGTTTTAATTCACCAGTTTGAATTCACTAGTTTGAATTAGTCTGTTTGACTTTGTCTGTTTGAATTCACTAGTTTTAATTCACTAGTATTAATTGTAGATTATACTAGCTTTAGTGTAACTATAATCTTAATTTTATTAATGACAGGAGGCGAATATTTGCTTAAGTCTCTCTTTACTAGAACTCCACAGCAGCACATTAACATAGAGATAAAAACACCAGAGACAAAAAAAAATCAGGAATCTATAAAAGGCTTCTCCCAACTAACTATTTCCTCTTTCACACTGCGACAAATAAAGTACATAACAATACACCACAAATACAATAACAGGAGAAACAAACATAACATTACGATGAATGCCATCCGAAATTGAAACCGTGGAACCAGTGGGTGAAGCCTTGACCTTTATCCTGTAGAGTAGTCGGATCTAAGAACTGTAGCCAAACCATTAAACTTAAACGAGTCTAAAACACTGATTAGCGAATGAAATGTACTGAGAAAACATGAATCCCCATCGTAAATACTGACAGTATAATATCCCAGATAGTGAAAAAACCTGAATCCCCATCATAAAATACTGACTGTACCATATCCCAGATAAACCCCAACTCCCCCAGATAACCAACCTAGCCCAGGAGACCAGGTGAATAAACAAGTCAGTCAAACCAACAAACAACAAGGGAGGGAGAAACTGGGAGGGAAATATTTGCCTCCTGTCATTAATAAAATTAAGATTATAGTTACACTAAAGCTAGTATAATCTACAATTTTATACCCGTCCTCAGGAATCGTAAAGGGAATTCTAAACAGAGCGAGGCACGCCGACAACAGACGTACGTGCTACTTAATCTAAATAATATGGCAGTCCCTGGTAATAAAGTGACCAAACAATACCCGAACCCAGTAAAAGCAGTAGCAAAATTAGGAGATCCATACCAGACCCAACTATGCCAGGGTCGCCATGCAGACCAAAGTCTTATAATCCCCGAGATCAAATGAGCAAGGGTCCAGGGAATCTAGGAACTAGGTTTGACTCTGCCGAAGCGGAGATCATAATTCCAAAGTACCAGCAGACCGAGGCACCTGTAGAAAGGTCCTGAGACCAAACAAATGGAGGAGACTCGTCCGTGTCTCCGCGTCGAACACTCCTGGAGGGAAGCATCCATCTCTGAGTAAACGGGTCCGTCATCCAGCCTAACTGGTCGGGGCCTGATGGGTCCTCCTCCGTGGACTAAAGTCTTGACGCTGGGTCCTCCCAGAGAAAACTGGGCGTAGGAGGCACCCCTTTGCGTCCAATCTGCCCTCCAGGACTCTACTCCTTGAGATGTAGAGGAGGTCGATATTTCCCTGGTTGAAAACTAAATCCAGGGACTCAAACAAGGGAAAATGCAGGGAGCGTCTGACATTTCGGTCTGGGAGGTACCTCTCACGGGGTCCGGCAAGCCCGTCCAGGTAGACCGTACAGCAAGATGTCCTATATCGATGAAGAGTCGCGCCCGGGTCCCAACGCGTGGAAAACGAGAAAGATCTCTTCAGATAGTTCCGGTATTCCTGAATGTCCTCAATTCCTCCCAACCTGCCAACCAGGTTCTATTATATCCCAAATGACTGATTCACAAGATACCTATCTTGCCAGGGAGAAAATAGAGGCCACCTTACCAGAACTGGGCCCCGCGGTCCCTAGAAGTTTCTTGAGGGCCGCGTCTAATTCAAAGTAACTAATGAATATACGTTCAATCGTAGACTCGTGCTGGCACTCCGAGTGGCTCAGATCCCTTTCCCAAGCACCTTCAGCGGTTCAAATTGCGTTTAGGATAGGTTCATCTGCCACCCCAGACTCGAGGCCCCGTCTGGGATGTCATCCCGAAGTGGAGGCAAGTACTGGTTGGAGCTGAGATAAGCCTCCATCAAGTATTTCCATGGAAAAAAGGGCACATATACTTCCTCGTTTGTTCCGCTAGCACAACTCACTCGTGTAGCGGAGAACAATCGGCTTGCCAGTGCGGACTTAATAGTATAGGCACTGCAGTGGGCTGCACTCAGGATCTCCTGAATACTAAACAGGTGCTAACCCGCAAAACCGCAGTGCCCCATCGGGTCTAAGTCTGGGTTTGCAGGAGCCCGGCTGGGAATACCGCTCGAATTATCCTGCAGGCTTCTCAAGCCAGCGGTCTACGGGCCCAGAAACGCACCGATGGTGCCAGGTTATCGGGAAGAGACCATTCCAAAGAAACCAGGTGAGCAATGGATTGAGGGTGGAACAGGGGTTCGTTTAAGGTGATCCACGAGACGACCTCTTCTTCCACGGTCGTGTGGGCCCCTGTAGTGGACTTTGTTCTACACCTCATAGTGCCACTAGGGGCCGTCATCATAATCCACACCCCCATCGTCCTCTACCTCCAAGGGGAACCGGTCCGCCCGCCATTCAGTTAAGGCGGCCATGGTGGTGGTGGTGGGGGGTTACGGGGACCTTCACCCCTGCGCCGCATAGGCAGTGTCGTCTGGCCATCAAGGCCAATCGTATCAGGGCTAGACACATCTCCGAAGTCTAGTCTTTCCGGGCGTCTGGTTCCGGGCCTTCACCCTACCCGTAGTGCTTATGCGCCCTTGTCTGCTTTCCTCTCGGAGAGTCTGACTCCTTTAAGTCGTCTGCCTTTTTAAGAAGGTGGTCACTGTCGCATCCGGTGGTCCTCGCCTCCCCTGCGCCATATAGGCAGGGCCGTCTGGCCAATTGCAGAGGGGCTAGCCGCTCCTCGGAGTCTTGTCTTTCCGGGAGCCTGGTTCAGGGCATTCATCCTTCCAGTAGCGCTCATGCACACTTGCCTGCTCTCCTCAAGGAGAGTCTGACTCATTCAAGTCACTGGTTCAGGGCCTTCACCCTTCCAGTAGCACTTATGTGCCCTTGCCTGCTCTCCTCTAGGAGAGTCTGACTCATTCAAGTCACTGGTTCAGGGCCTTCACCCTTCCAGTAGCGCTTATGTGCCCTTGCCTGCTCTCCTCTAGGAGAGTCTGACTCATTCAAGTCACCTGCCATTTTAAAGGTGGGCCCTTTAGTGTTATGCTCCTGATAAGCTTAAGGGAGGACTCTGACTGAAGCCTAATTCCACGGAGGCCGTCACTGCCATAGTAGTCATTGTCTGCGATGTTAAACCGGATAAGGGTTCTCCTGTGCAGCGGTCCCAGACAAAGCGACCTCAAGGAGTATAGAGGACAATTGTCACCGGCAGGGAGATAGGGGCAGCACCCCATATAGTGACCGTGGTAAGTTGGGCAGCGCATGCAATGCACAAGCATGAGTATGTGGCAGTAGGCTTGGCATGCAGACATTCTGGCACAGACAGCACAGGCCAGATCAATGGGGCATAGGCAGAGCAGGCCAATCAGTAAGGCACAGACAAAGCCGGCCAAGTCCTGGGGCACAGACAAGTCAGGACCTTTAGAGATGTACTGGTGAGGAACTGCACATTCCATTCTTCCGATAAAATGTACCTTCCGCTCTTCAGATAAGATGTACATAACACTTCTTCAGATTAATAGCACATAACACACTTCTGTGTAACTGTAATTAACACTCTTCTGTGCAGCCGTACATAACATCCTTCTGTGTAAACATACAATACGTTCTTCTGTGTAATGTACCTAACGTTCTTCTGTGTAACTGTACATAGCATTCTTCTGTGTAACTGTACATACTATATTACTGTGTAACCGTACATAGCCTTCCACTGTGTAACTATAGATAACGCACTTCAGTTAAATAGTGCCTGACACTCTGTAAATAGTGAACTTGCATATTGAGTACACCTGTAGTCAGGGAACTCACCAATTGAGTTACCTCACAAGCGGTGCTCCATTGGTCAATATGATAAAACAGAGCGCTGCAAGCAATCATCTGAACAAACAAAAAGGGGGGGGGTGGGGTGAGTATAAGTGGTAACACTGTCAGTTATGCCTGTAACCCTTGAGGGGTTGTGCACAGCTCTATATAGCATGCCTGTGATCTATATCATCCACTAGGGTCCCCAGTAGCCTAGCCTGCCAGCCACATGGGACACAAAGCCAGGACAGCCTGAGGGTGCAATGCGCCCAAGTCATAGCTGAGTCCCAGTCAAAGCTACAGCACATGTGCCTGCCATCGACGGAACTAATGTGGTAAGTATGGTAACGGGCCGGCCCCGCCCCCATCCGACCATGCGGTCGCGGGGAAGTGGATGCTCGGGCCGCCGCACTGCATGGGAAGGTAACCCCACACCCACGCCGCGGGAGCAGTTACACCGTGAGCGGAAGTGTAGGTCGGGTGGGGGGTGGAAGTAGAGGATCTCGCTTGGCGGACTGAGCCGGCGAGCAGAATCCAACACGTGGGACCGCCGGAGTCTTACTCCGGGGTAGCGGCGGTCGGAAACCGAAAGCAGTCGAAGGACTGCTTTCCGGCAGCCGCAAAACGGATGAAAAGTGTTAATGTGCTGAGGTTGAGTTCTAGTAAAGAGAGACTTAAGCAAATATGAAACCTCCTGTCATGCTATAAAATTTGCCAGAATGCAATTTACCTTAATGCAATTAGACTGAAATAATAGAATTTTGCCACGAATGTAATGCGCCATTGAATGTAATACACATTCAAAATTTCGAAACTTTATTTTCAAAAAAAGTTGTGCATTAGATTTGAGTAAATACGGTATATCATAAGAGCAGTTTTAATACGAAGTAATACTACATAGATTGTGCACTGTTTTATCATATTCGCCTTTGACTCTGCTGTTATTTTGTATTGCCTGTTTTACCTCTGACCTAAAAGTTGTTCTGTGTACTGAGCAGGGTTCCATGCACTAACCACTTGCCGTGTCTTCATCACTATATATGAAGCATGGTGATAATAGTGGCTACACGTAAAATAAAATATGGATTTGTGAGTGGCTGCACAAGAGAGTTCAGTGTGGACTTTGCAATACTGCTTCTTGTGAGTTCTTATAGTGACAGTTTTTGCAATAAGAATAATCTCAACAGCTTTCCTCCCCCTGAAGGGATGAAAATGAGAATAGTTTGGAGCAGCTCCAATTCCAGAGCAGAATATCACAATTATTTCCTAGCTACAAATATAACTAACAAGTATGCAACAGTGAAAGCAGCAACATCGAGAAGCATAATGGGCAGTCGATGCCAGCATGTTTATACGCACACAGTTAACCTCATAGCTGCAGGAAAATGTCTATATGGCTCTCTGTGAGGTGAACAAATAAGAGATAAAATTGGGATTGGCATAGCAAGTGAGAGTTCACAGTGAAGTCTCTTAAGAGAATATGAATTAAGGAACAGTTCACACACAAAAATACAGCTTTACATGTTATGAGGCTACTTAAAGGGATACTATAGTGATAGGAATACAAAGTTGGATTCCTAGCATTATACTTCCCTCTGGTCTCCTCATACCTCATGCCCCCAAGCAGTCTAATGGTTACTAAACCCCTCACCCAATTCAAGCACCAATCTCCTTTTTAATGTGGGAGACTAATTAAATAGTGCTAAATTAACTAAAGTGTATTTGGTTAATCTGTTGTAAGAGCAATCAACATATAATGCAAATTTAATGGGATTAAAAACATAATTCAAAAAAATACAATGTGATAATTAAACAATTAAAGTGATAGTGCTTTTATGTATATACTTACAATGCATAAACCTCAATAACCCACCTTGCTTGCCCTTCGTGCAACAGTATCTACTACTGCTGAGAAACACATGTTCCGGATGTGCCCCCAATTCCCTTTTTTCTATGTTTCTTAAGAGAGTGTCTGGACAGAATTAAGGGCACAGACCAGTCTAGTACTGTAGGACTTAAAATTGATAGCCTTGGAGAAGGACAATATTTTATTGAAAAATTAATTTCTCTGTGTGACCCTTCCAGTAAACCTTTTTATAGTAACACAATGCTCTCTTTTTATTTTTATTGCATTTGCACATGGCAAATGTAAAGACATTAAAGTAATGCTTACTATTTCTGCCCTGTATCTTCCCATGTCTGCTCACTTCAACTATAAAAAAATATGGCATCATACTGTCACTACCCATGTGTCAATCATTGCCTTTTTTTACCATACCAATTCAATTACTGGTGGTGTAAGGGTACATAATGATGGACACTCCAGCACTGCCAATGTAAATATTAGTCTGTAATTCACACATGGACATTCTTCATGTCATTGACTCAGAAACATCATATGTCTATGCTAGAGTATCTGTGTGTACTGAGAATGTGTGAATACAGTGTATATCTGTTGGTGAAGTGAGAATGTATGCCTAGTTTATGTGTTTATAAATATGTTTAAGGTGGATCTTGAATACAGTATATATCTATATGAACAGTGTGTATTTGTGTGGGAGCTCTGCAAATATGCATGCTATGATTGTATGCAGAGAATTTGTTTGCTAAATGTCCGTTATTTTTGTGTAGTTTGTATCTATGCTAAGAATGTGTGAGTTTGTGCAGTCAAACATGCTGGAAATATGTGTATATGAGCCTATATGTGTGTGAATACCTTATGTATCTGTGTGTTGTGCATGCTGACAGCCTTTAAGTGTAAGTGTGCTGAGAGTGTCTGTGTGCTTAGAAAGTATCCAGAAAGTAACCAGCCATGTAATATGTAAAATTAAGACATTGATATGCATTTAAGATACAAGATACAAGAAATCAGAGTTTGCAGGAATCTATGATCTGCAAACTTTCTTTGTCTTAGGGATGAGCATAACCACCTAGCAAAGCTAGTGGGTATGCGGCAGCCTCCCGGAGTCAAATGCCAGAGCTGAAAAGGCTCGCGCTGTGCATCTGCACAGCAACAGCCTTTCAGCCAATCAGGTAATCAGGAGAGCCGTGCTGAGCGCGGGAATCCTGATTACCTCAGATTTTTTAAAATTGGGAAACTGCGGATGGTTAGCACATCCCATGAAATACTAAGGATAAATATTTCCCACAGTGTACAGGAATATTATTAAACTTCTAAACACAAAATAAAATAATTCAAGATGCCAATAGTACAGGGGAACAAGAAAATATTTAATAAGTCATGGAGACATACAAGATAGACTTGAAACTTTGTATAAAACAGCTGAACTGAAAACAAGGCAACAATGTGTGCCAAAGGAAAGTATCCAAAGACCACTGGAAACATTCAACGTAAGTTGCAACAAAATAAGTTCAATAAAAGAGAAAAGAAATGTTGAAACAAGTCCCAGCAGACATAATCTTTATGCAGGGAGTCCATGAGAATATTAAACCGACGAGACTACTTGCATCCAATCCTTCTACTTAGGTGGATCCTTGGTTTGTTGGTCTTGTCTTGGAGTACGGCTATAATCTGTAAAAAACAAAACAGAGAACAGTTATCAAAAGGTTGAATAATCACCAGATAACCTTATGTTTTAGAAAAACCAACTACCACCAGCAGGCAAAACCCTTAACTAGGAGGAGGGTGGGACGGGCGCTATTGCTAGGTGGTTATGCTCATCCCTAAGACAAAGAAAGTTTGCAGATCATAGATTCCTGCAAACTCTGATTTGTCCTCCGGGAGGCATAACCACCTAGCAAAGCTAGTGGGTAGAATAGCACACACCTGGTGGTGGTCCTAAGAAACTGAAGGCGTTCAACTTCTGATGGCCTCCAGTAAAATCTAACAAAGGTTTTACTGGACAACCATCTTGCAGCTTTTAAGATAGTAGCTAGAGGAAGGCCCTTTCCTGCTGCTTTAGTAGCCGAGGCTCCCCTAATTGAATGGCTTTTGAACACTGAAACATCAATTCCAGCCGTAGACATGGCGGAAAGTATCCAGCCTCTAATTGTATTAACCTTGGCTGGACGAAAGGGATTCCTTGATGTAATGAATAATTGACTGATATCGTTTCTAAATCCAGCAGAAAGTTGAAGGTACGATTGTAACAAACTGACTAAACATAAGCCTGGTTCGGAAGAATCTTGGACCAAGTCCAATTCTACCGGACCAGGAGAAAAATGGGATGTTTTTTGTCTGCCTTTTAGTATAATATGGAAACCTCCCAGGGTCCTGGACAACCAAGGTTCTGAAATATGGATCTGAGTTAACTCTGCTCCTCTAGCTGCCAGGGCCAAGGACAGCAGAGAAGCCAGCTTAATAGCAGTCCATCTTAAATCAATTTTAGCATTATCCAAAGACTTTAGGAAATTTAATAAGACATCTACATCCCAAGTAGATGTGTAGCGTGGGGTATATGGGCGGCAGACGGCTAACCCTTTTAGTAATCTCAAATACAGGGCATCCTGAGTAAGGTTGGGGATCAGGAAGTTTAAGGCAGATCCGTAGGTCTTGATTGAACTGACAGATAAACCAGAATGGAACTTAAGGGTAAGAAATTCTAACGCCAAAGGAATGGTATCAGATCCTTGTGTGTTAGACAGAAAAGAAACCTCCCATTCTTTGAATTCCTCGATCATCTTTCTATATCTTACCCTAGTTCTACGTCTTAAAGATGAGTTAAAAATATCCAAGACCTGGTCCGATAAATGGGGATGTGTTAACAGCCTACCAGGGCTGCGATCCACATCAGCTGCGGGAGCTTGAGCAGAAGATCGCTGGTTCCCTGAAAGCAGTCCACTGTCATGCCTAATGGGATCTTGGTTCCCTTGATTAACTGATGGATCAAGGGATACCAGGGTCTGGAGGTCCATACTGGGTAAACGAGAACTAAGCTCTGCACCCTGTCCCTGCGGATCTTCTCCAGCACTTTCATCAGTAAAGATGGAGGGGGGAAAGCATAAGGGGCTGGAACATCCGTCCATTGGAAAGACATTGCATCCATTTTCCAAGCTCCCTTTGTCCAGGTCCGGGAGACGAACCTGGGAGTTTGAGCGGATGTTTGGGATGCAAACAGATCTACCTGTCTCTGGCCAAAATTGCTTTCTATCTTTTGGAAAAGAGCAATCTTTAATTGGATCGTTGCCAGGGACAAACTTTGGCGAGAGAGAGAGTCTGCAAGCTCGTTCGCCTCTCCCGGAACATATTCTGCGAAAACCTGAACATTGCTTGCTAAGGCCCAGGACCAAAGATCTAGAGCCTCTAAGCAAAGACCCCTTGATCTTGTACCCCCTCTGTGGTTTATATAAGCCACCGCTGTCCTGTTGTCCGAATGGACTTTTACCAATGTCGGTGACTCGTTTAGAGGAACTAGGCCCTTGAGAGCTAATTTTATAGCTCGTAACTCCAAGATGTTTATATGGAGGTGACTCTCTTGGTCTGACCAGATTCCTCTTATGGCGTTTTGGGTTGTAAACTCACCCCAACCGTGACTTGAGGCATCTGACGTCAGAGTGACTGTCGCAGGCTGCTCTAACAGTGGACGAGGAAATGGAATTTCTAACTCCAGAATGGACTTCAATTCTTCTCTGACCTTCTTGGGGAGAACAAATTTTGATTCCCAATGGCCACCCTGTCTCAGTCGGTTCCCTAAAAACAGCTGACTTCTTCTGCAAAGTAAAGGGGAATTGTTGTATGCTGGTGTTAAAGCTATTAATTTCCCTATGATCTTTGCTAGGTCTCTCAAGGACCAACTCTGGTGCTTGAGAGATGAGTTCAGATGTACCAATAATTTGTCCCATTTGTCTTGAGGGATTCCAAGGGACATAGTCCTGGTGTTCAGTATGAAACCCAGAAAGAGGATGCTTTGAGTGGGAATTAGGACTGATTTCTGTAGATTTACTACGAATCCTAGGTCTTGTAAAAGGGAAGCAAGGTAATCCCTTTGAGAAGCAAGGGCTTCCCCATCTGGGTGCATGAGCAGGATGTCGTCTAGGTAGTATAGACACATGAAACCTTTTAGTCTGACATG